AGCCCGGCCCCGTCCTCCCCTCACCCCTGGGGCTTGTGGCCGGCTTTGGAGCTGGGGAGCCCGGGGGGGTTAGGGGGATACACCCCCCGAGCCCCGCACGCCATCGCGGAGAGGAAGACACACGCACATCGGAAAATGCAGCTTTAAAAACAGAACTGCGTATTTTTTTTTTAATTTTTCTTTCACGTTTGCCGCAGGAATCCACAGGCGCTGGAGCCCACGCGCTGCTGCCGCTCGGTGCCTGCTCTGCAGAACAGCTGGATGTGGCACAGGCCACCAGGCAGGGGGGAGGCTGGGGCCGGGCAGGGCACAGGGGGAGCTTCGCCTTTTAGTTTACAAAGGTCATCGGTAACTTGGGACTTCACCTCCAAAGCGGGCGTATCGCTGGGATTCCTTCCATGTCCTCGTCGCTCACACTGCTCAGTGCTTTCTTTAAGCATCTAGAGGCAGGATTGAAGGGGAATTTGGGTGGGAAGGGAGCTGTTTGATCACTCTAAGACTGTACATGAGAAGCTAAAGCTCCGGCTACAACTGGGTACATGTGTCTGTCCATGTCTGTGTTTCCTTCATGCACTGTATGGACATCTTTATGTCCAAGTGTGCACTCTTTGCTGCTGGAAAATAATCAGTGCTGGACCCCTTTGGGGCTGTCACTGCCAAACACGGAGCAGAAAACCCTTTCTAAGGCTGGAAGCAGAGAAAAAAAAAACACAAAACACAACTACAAAAGATTGTGTGAAGGGGCAACCAGGGGTGTGCTCTGCCCTTCCTTGCTTACCCTGTGGCCCAGCTCCAGTTTCCCAGACAGGCAACAGCACTGGAAGGGTCTGTTAAACTGGGAAGACCCAGGGAAATGGGGCCCCACCTCACTCCAGAGCATTCTTTGTGCTAATTAGCTCTGCAACAGCACATTTATTTTTTTTCAGTGTGCATCTCCGATTACATTTCTCTTCCCCTCTCTTCTCTATTTTGCTTATTTGGCAGGTTTATGTCTCTTTGCTCAGTTGTTACAAACTACTGCCACATCCCCCTGTCTTAAACCTTCTGGGATCTTGCCAGCAGAGTCCAGGCAATGAACCTGTCCCACCACGGCTCATCACAGCTCCGTGTGTTCCAAAAAGGCAGGTTTGGCCACTGCAGTTGATTTCCTACACTTGCCTCCCCTCTGCACCCCACTCTGTAACTGCAAAAATCGTGGCTGTTCCTCATGTTTCTAAATCCCCTCACTGCTGTGACCCACAGCTTAAAAACCAGCATCAAGCAACGCAAGAGTGGAGGACACGTAGGCCCCACTGGTTGCCTTGCCACCACATGCTTGGGTACCAAATCCCACAGGCAGCATCCCCATTTTGCTTCCCTTCTACCCAAATTAATCCTTCCCATCTATTACTGTCATTAACGATCAGAACTTAACCAAAATTGTAGAGGGCATAGTTGCCACCAAAAATAAAACCAATCACAGCTCATTAAGTCAAAAGCAAAGCCTGCAACTTCCTAAACTGGGGCATATTCCAGCCTGCTCTCAAATGACATCCTGTTGTAGGTTGGGGCTAATAATAAGATTATGATCCTCTTCATTAGCAAGTATTTTGTAACACCAAAAATCTCATGAATGGATATGTCTGTCTTGGCAAAATGTGAGAATCCCAGCCTTTGATCTCAAACCTCCATTTAGCATCTCTGCTTTAAAAAGACAGATTTATTTTAAGGCCCCTGTTCTTGTCTCCCATGGGAAAATGTGCCAGGGAGGGAGTGCTTGCCTGGGAAGAGCTGCTGCTCGCTGGGGTTTGGCTCATCTGAGCTGCTTCCCTGCCACTGAGGTGGGGGACTAGCTGTGCCCCCATCCTGGTATGCATCCAAGTGCCCAATGGCTGCTTTCCTGGGATGTGAGTGGAAGGACAGAGGGAGGCTGCACCACGTTGGCTAGCAAAGGGGCAGCTGAGGGTGCGGTGTCCAGGAGGAGTGTTAACAAAGACACTGTCAGTGCAAGAACGAACAGGTGTAATTAATACATCCGTGCTGGATGCTCATGGAGGCACATTCATTCCTGGTGCCACAAGGGCAGCATGTGATGAAGTGAGATATCACCCCTGGGAAGGTGAAGGATGGAGTTAAGGACTTGTCCTCAGCGTACTGATGAGGCAGTGGTGGCCCTGGCAGGTTTTGGCTTGGGCAGACTCCCAAGATCCCAACCACAGGCTGATCCTCAGGGATGGGTGCCTGGCTGCTGGTCCTCGGTGGGCTGGGGTGTTAGATGAGTCCTGCTTGTTCGGGGAGGTGTGGGTGAGGGAACTGGTGCTTCAGGAGGGAGCTACTCTGCCCAAACCCTGGGAGAGAAGCCGTGTGTGCAGCATTTCCTCCTCAATTCAAAGTGCAAATCCCCTGAGTAATCCTGCAAACACATTTTTCTCATGCAGGGAAAAATCCCAGATATTTTCCTCCCCCCCAACTCAGAGCACCACTGCCTCTTCTTCCTTTGTTCCACAGGCATAGGAAGAGCAGCATGGCATTTCGAGGAGACAGAAGGGAAATAAAAATAAATTCCTGTTACACTGCTTGCAGCTTAGCCCTTCTAGGTAACCCCTCTGCACATGCCTTGCCTTTTGTGTGGGCATCTATCTGTTTTCCTTGGAGGGTGAGGGGAGTGCATCTTTTGCCATTTGATTGATTAGGTGACAAGAGAGGAAAAAAGGGGGTTTTTTTAGAGAGAGATGCAAATCTGTACAAACAGCCCAGCATTCAGCAGCTCCAGACGCTCGCTGCGGAGTGCAAAGACAAGTGCAACAGCCAGTGTTTGCAGGGCTTAGGACAAAAAAACAAAACAAAACAAAAAACGTGACTTGCCTTTCACTGGCTGAATTCTTCATTTGCAATAAAGATGACGGTGATACTAGTGTCTAAGCTCAGGCTCCTCTCTAAATAACATGTGTGTGCTCAGCTGGATTAAGCCAACTTCTGAGACTGGAAATCATAATAACAGTCTTTTAGAGGACAGCCTTTCTGGTCGTCTAATACTATTATCCTCCAGGCTGAAAAGCATTCCAGAGTACTTGGAGTGCTACGATGAATGTGAGGTTGCTTAGCTGATAGTACCAGCTTGTCTCAAAGCAGCACATTTTCTTATTACTTTTCAGTTTAAAGAAAAAGTTTAGAAGGAGAAACGGAAATATTAAAAATGAGAAGGATTGGGTGATGCTGTGTGCCTTTCTGTAAGTCTCCTCTGGCGCCTTATGCATTTTATCTTCATTTTCTCCGTGTCTCAAATAGTTATTGGAACTTTGCAAGGGCCTGAAGAAAAATTTGCAAGAGCTTCTGAGCCTGAGCACCTGCTTCACTGCTCTGCTTTTCCAGGAGTTTACACCACCAGAACTTGGTGCTGATTCAGGTCCTACTTACTTGATGTCTCTTCAAAATAACCAAGGCCCTTTGGGAAAGAAAGTCCTACAGAAAAAGAAAATCTTGGCTTTGGTGTTTAACCTGTGACAGTCTGAGGAATCTGAGAAACTCTATGGACTCCTGCTGGCACTGAGACCAGGGGATTAAAAAACATGTATGTATATAACCCCCACAGCTCTCATCTCTGTAGGGACCCTGGGCATTGCAGTGTCCCTGGTATGCTCACTTTTTCTCATCTCCATCCATGTCCCATGCCCAGGGTGTGCAGACACCATCCTCCCTTCTTTGTCTAGCAACAGACAAAATTTCAAACACCAGAATCACCTTTTTTCCTGGTAGGCTGTGATATTCTCCCTGAAAAGCCCTGGAATGTCCTTTGCTTTGGTGCTATTCTCTGGAGAAAACGGGCATCCCCATTTGCTCTGCTTGGGATGCATTCCCAGCAGGATGCATCCTGTGCACCCAGGCTGGCCCTGCTTGAAAGGATGGCCCGAAACATACTTGGTGCAGGACCTTGCTCAGCCCAAAATCAGAATCACAGAATCATGTGGGTTGGAAGAGACCTTCAAGATCATTGAGTCCAACTATTATCATCCTCTTCTCCCCTGTGCTCGGATGTAGACATATGGCCCAACTCAGTCTGCTCTTCCTCACCCTAGGACACTAAAGGCTGATTTGCTTTTCCCCAGAGCTGAATCCCATTTATCCATATGGCTTCATCTTATTCTTCTTAATTTAGCTAGTGGCTGTGCCTTCTGCTTCCTCTGAATTCAAGAAATAAAATAAAATAACTAGCTGTCATTACATGTTTTCATTCCTACCTTTAACAATGTGGTCTCCTTCGTAGCTATTCTGTGTAAATTGCTCATAGGCTACTTTCTTAACCTCCAACCACAGCTTTGTGCTTTGAAGGTAGTTATCATCTTAAACAATTTGGTAGCATCAATCTGTTTCTTTCCCAGGGGCTTTCTTACACTTTGATGAGAAATCTGCTAAGTTTCTCCTTGCTTTGCAGCAAAGGCCGAGCTTCGCTTTTTTGTTTGGGGTTTGTTTATTTTTCCTTATCCAAAGCACCCAGGAATCAACTATATTTCTCTTTTTTTTGACATATGCACTGTTCTTCTAATAATTTCATGACCTGGCTTTAGAGAATATTTCCAATGACACTGTCCCACAGGTTCCTGCAGCATCAGATTATTTTTTTTTTCACAAATACCATCTCTTGAAACCTACATTTTACTCACCCTTCTGACAAAACTTTCAATTCTTTTTTGGTTTTGTTTTCATTACCTTTTTGAGACTTTGGTGCAGGTTGATTTCAGCAAGTTTAATCTTTATTCACCTACACTATGTTCTTTCATTTAGCCTCTTACATCAGGCTTTTTTTAAAAAAACAAATCTCTGCTTTAAAAAAAAGGTTCTTCCTCCATTGCATCACATTTAAAAAACTAAATCTGGGAGGGTGAAAGAACCAATAAACTACCTGGTTCAACCTGCTAAATTTGAATGCTCTGTTGACTTTACTTTGGGTGACTTTACATCCCTTCTCTCGAGATTGCTAGTTCTCAGACACGACCATGGAGGATACAACACGTCCACCCTCCATTCCCTGCTGAAGGCTGTGAGAGGTTCATTCCCTCTGAGGACCTCTGTGCTTAAAGCAGGACATGATGGAGAAAATGGGTACATTCTCATTGCAAAATTCATC